ACACACACACACACACACACACACACACACACACACACACACACACACCACAAATACATTTTTAAAATAATAAAGAATTCCCGAAGGCAAGAGACTAGAGGACATGTGCAGGAACTCAGGGTTCACAGAGACAGTGTATGGCCAATGAGAATTATTCAGGGACAGAAGGGACCCCCCCCCCAAAAAAAAAGATGACCACAGAGACGGAATCACACATGCAAAAGCAAAGACCCTTTATTTTCAAGCTCCGAGGCTTGGTCTGTCTGTCCCATGAAGCAGTGAGAGCAGAGAACCCTGAGCTCAGGTGGGGTGGGGTTTTTATCATAGCAGAGGTTAGGGTGAAAGGATTTCCAGGGTTCAGGACACTGATTGGCTGACAGTTGTCTAGGGAGTATCTTGGTAAGAAAGGGAAATAGGTATGTGCTAGGCTCAAGGACATCTGGCCACCTTATCTAATGGTTGGAATGTTTGGGATGTTAGGTACTTCCCCATCCCTGGGTGGATCCCGGGGTGGTTGTCAGTTTAAGGCTTTTCCTAGATCGGAGTGGTGCCTGCCAGCAAGCCTGTCACAGAAGCTGTATCTGGGCCCCTAAGTCTGTCATGGCTGCTGTGTGGTCAAGTTGTTTTGGGTCCCCTCCACAATCACTTGGTCCAGTAAGAAATTCAGGGTCAGTGAGACTGCTTAGCGGGTAAAGGGACTTGTTGCTTATCACCTGAGTTCAGTCTTTGGAACACATGTGATGGAAGGAGAGAATTGACCTCCACAAGCTGTCCCCTGACCTCCACATGCATGCTGTTGTACACACCCATGTGTGTGCATACACACATGCCCAGACATGTGCACATACTGTGATATTTGGCCATTCTGGAGGACAAATGATTCTACCTAATCTTCTGTTGTAGAATATTATTTTAAGGCGTGTGTGTTACTTTTATTAATATTGCATTTGTTTAATTCTGTGACGCTCTGTTACTTTTCCTGTTTAAAACACCTGATGGTCTAATAAAGAACTGAATGGCCAATAGCAAGGCAGGAGAAAGGATAGGAGGGGCTGGCAGGCAGAGAGAATGAATAGGAGAAATCTGGGAGGAGGAAGAAGGAGCCAGAGAAGGAAGAGGACTCTAGGGGCCAGCCATCCAGCGACATAGCAAGTCACAGAGTATGAGTAAGATTTACAGAAGTACAAAAATGCGAAAAACCCAGAGACAAAAGATAGATGGGATAATTTAAAGTTAAGGAAACCTGACAAGAAACAAGACAAGCTAAGGCTGGGCATTTATAATTAAGAATAAGCCTCTGTAGCAGGAATCTTAGAGAGTCTTATTAATAAAATCAAACCTGTAGCCAGGTAGTGGGGTGAAGATGGAAGATCAGAGAAGCAGAACAAGCCACAGCTACCTCACCTCGCCAGATCCTCAGCTGATCCTGTTTCCTCAGACTGGATGCCTCTGAGTCCTCATCCAGATGGATCTCAGCTGAACAGCTGCTCGAAAGCCTGAAAGCTTAACCAGCCAAATGCTTCTAGTTTCTGGTCCTCATACCTTATATACCTTTCTGCATTCTACCACCACTCCCTGGGATTAAAGGCTCACTTTCTGGAATTAAAGGCGTGAGTCACCATGCTTGGCTGTATCCTTGAACACATGGATTTCTGCCTCTGGAATGCTAGGATTAAAGGTGTGAGTGCCACCATTTTCTAGCCTTTGTATCTAGTGGCTGTTCTGTCTCTGACCCCAGATAAGTTTATTAGGGTGCACAATATTTTAGGGAACACAATACCACCACAAGCCCCCTCATGATTTATTTGGGAACTGGGTGTGGGTCCCCCAAAAGAGCAAAAACAAACAACAACAATTTTCTGCCAACAAAATCATGCTAATAATAATAATAAAATTTTATTTTTAAGCCACTACACTTTGAGGTATATAGCAACATAGACCATCATGTTTAAAAGCTTTAATTTTCAAAATTGTTGCTTGGTAGCCTTAGGACTAGGTTATATGAATATAGGTTTTTGGTTTCTTTTTTTTTGGGGGGGGGGTTTCGAGACAGGGTTTCTCTGTGCAGCTTTGCTCCTTTTCTGGAACTCACTTGGTAGCCCAGGCTGGTTTTGAACTCTCAGAGATCTGCCTGGCTCTGCCTCCCGAGTGCTGGGATTAAAGGTGTGTGCCACCACCACCCAGCTGAATATAGTTTTAATATCAGTTTATTTTTAAAACTCACATAATCAGACAGAAATCCTTTTGAGGGGAAAGAAGAGAAATGTGGAAGAAGGTTGCATTTGGTGTCAAATACCAGCTCGTTTGTTAAGTTCACAAATGCAGGTGTGAAAAAGCACGTGTAAAATATAGGAGACAGAACAGGCATTGCGCAGGTGTTTGCCTCCACCTCCCTTCACCCCCCTCCCCCCTTCTCTTTGTATGTCATTGCTATTTTAGAGGTAAGGGTGTAGATGATCATGGATGTTACAGTCAAAGACACATGCCAAGAGCTAGAGGTGTAAGGATTCTGTATTTGCACAGCTCAGAGGTCTTGTCTGGCGCTTTATTACGTCATCAGAAGGCGACTGCGTCCCAGCCTAAAAGCCGGACGTGCACCCCCCCCACTCTCTCTCTGTATCCCTCTCTGTGCCCCTCCCTCTCCCCCTCTCCCCTCTCCCCCTCCCTCTTTCTCTCTCTCCCCCTCTCCCCATCCCTCTCTCTCTCCTAATAAAGCTCTAAAAGGTACCACTGGGTTCTGTTGTGACTGTGACCTTTCCGCCGCCGACCAAACCAGCACTGCCAGCCACCAGTGCATATACCCAAACCAGCACTGCCA